TGCTGATTGGCTGGGCGAATTGCAAACCACGCCCGTACAACTCTGAAAATGTTGTGTAGAGCCGCCATTGTTTTTCCTCGCTACAAAAACACAACGCTCCGTGCGTTGTGTTTGTTTTTGAAAGCAGTTATGGCAAGCATCAAGAAATGATGAGGAGGTGTCGGCGCTTCTGGAAATCTACGCAGAGGACGCGACCCAGGGAATGCACTGAAGCCAGTTCAGTAGCTTTCACTCGACCTGGGAATGTGCACAGCCCCACGGCACACCGGCTAAAAATAAAGAAACTCGGGCAGGACTACAAACGGCGGATTCAGTGGCCAACGATGACGACCACGACGAAGGTAAAATCAACTACATGCACTGGGGTTTTAATCTGCACAATAATGGTCTCAGATGTACTTTTATTTGCTCAGTAGATCAAGCTAGCCATGCTAGCCATAATAGGCTAACACCGGCCCCGAGCACACAGTACACACACACTGTAACTTTGTCTTGAAAGAACGTTGCGCATCGAACTGATGTTCACAATCATGTTTATTTCATAATATTCATCATATTTTATGTTTAACTTGCCTCAACAACATTAAACAAAGTTCAAGCATACATGAAGCACTCTTCAAAAAGGAACAATCTTCCGTGTTTGAACCTCTTAAATCGCTGCATAGCCGATTTATTTGGACTGGATTACCCCAGAGGGTCTAAACATTCTTTATAACACAGTTTCAGATTTGTGAAACCTTAATTCTATTTGTGAAAATACAAAAAACACATTCCTAGTATGTTGTAAAACTACATGGCGACTAAACTTGTATATTGTATATTGCTTATTTTCCCCTCTTAGGAAAGCGGACACGGGATGCGAATTTCTTTGACACCGCCCAGGCGTTGGAGGACCGGCGTGCCGTGGTGAATGAGTCGCTGCGTGGAGATCAGATGGTGCTGTTCACCAAGGCCCAGGAAACGGAGGACAAGATGCTCACCTCGATGGAGCGCCAGGCAGAAGTGTTCAAGCAGCAGATGGAGCGCCAGCAGCACCAGGATGAAGTGTGGGCGCTGCGCCATGAGGAAGCGTCGGCGCAGCGGCAGGATGAGCGACAAACTGCATTTAATAACAGTTTATTTGGTATAGTTTTTGTAAATACTGACACACGACACACAACGTTGCACTAAGGTGTGCATGCTGCTGAGAATATCCCTACACCTGGGACAGTTTATTTTATATTGTTATTACTGTTATGACTTTATTTTATATATAATGTTTACTGACATGTACAACTGACACTTTATTTACATTTAAAATTGTTCTATTTAATGTTATGTCTTGAGAGTGCAATAAAGAAAACCGACATGGCGATTAAGCTTATTTCTACTGACACTTTATCTTTTGTGACCTGTGTAGCATCCTATACATCACATGCAAGTGATTATTCTGATACCATCATGTTTCATCGGTTATAAACTGGCAAAGCTTTATTTGTCATTTATTTATCATCAATGTTGCAACCTTGTGGGGGAATGGCAGGGGCACATACACAAATATGACAATTTATATCATTTTAAATACTATTTGACCTAAACTTTTAATTCCCCCCCATTTCACACAACACAACATGGAGTCCACTATGGGCCAAAACTAACATGTATGTTTGCATAGTGTTTATGGCAGACGGATGCAGTGGGTCTCAGGAAGATATATAATAAAGGTGGGTTTGCTGCTGAGACTCCCTACAGCTGGGAGTTTATTTTATATTGTTATTACTGTTATTATATAGTACAACTGACACTTTATTTTATATTGACAATGTTTACTGACATGTACAACTGACACTTTAGTTACATTTAAAATATTTCTATTTAATGTTATGTCTTGAGAGTGCAATAAAGAAAACCGACATGGCGATTAAACAGATCCTGTATCAGTTTTTCTTCTTCTCTTGTTTTGTAGCGGGTTGCAAACAACTTTAAGGTGCTTACCGCCACCTACTGTACTTGTAATCTTCCCTCAGGGAAAAGTACTCCGGTGTGAACGCGATCTGTACTAAGTACCCTGGGGTTAAAAGCGCCAGGGCTCTTAGTGCCGGAACTAAGTACAGGAAAGTACTTGGTGTGAACGCGGCTAAGGTCTTGGGATCAATCCCCAGCTTCTCCATCATGGCTCTTTAATTGAATAATTAACTGAGTCTCAGTTTACAAACTAATCCACAGTCACACAACATTTCATACTGAATTAAAAGGGGATGTAGCTCAGTGGTAGTGTGTGTGCTTTGCATGTACAAGGTCCTGGGATCAATCCCCAGCATCTCCAACAACATTGAGCCGGAATTGTATTCTGTACTACATTTAAAGAGTTACTCAAACCATTGAGGAGAGCCCTCTATCCAAGTTTCATTTGAACTGTGATCATGAGAGCTCTTGAAAGTACTTTTTTGTTTGAATAAGCAATCGGATCGTTAAAGACTGTACAAACAAGTACCTACCGATTGATATAATAACATGAAGGGGATGTAGCTCAGTGGTAGAGCGTGTGCTTTGCATGTACAAGGTCCTGGGATCAATCCCCAGCATCTCCATCATTGCCAATAACATCTTAAGGTCTCGACAAATGGACACTCAAGGAATCTGTAAAAAAAATGTGTGATAATAAGAGCTCTTGAAAGTTATCTTTTTATATAATCAAGTAATAGAATTAGTAAAATAATAAACAAACAAGTACATATGTAAGGATTGATGTGACGCAATGAAGGGGATGTACCTCAGTGGTAGAGCGTTTGCTGAGCGTGTGCTTAGCATGTACAAAGTACTGGGATCAATCCCCAGCATCTCCAACACCATTTAAACAGATGACTTCTTATATACTCAAACCATAAAGTAATGTCCTTTATTAAAGTTTCTTGAAAATCAGGCCCTTTGTTCATCTGTACCTCATTATCCAAAATAGTAATTACAGAAGATAATGAGGACACCATGAAGGGGATGTAGCTCAGTGGTAGAGCGTGTGCTTCGCATGTACAAGGTCCTGGAATCAATCCCCAGCTTCTCCATCATGGCTCTTTAATTGAATAATTAACTGAGTCTCAGTTTACAAACTAATCCACAGTCACACAACATTTCATACCGAATGAAAAGGGGATGTAGCTCAGTGGTAGAGCGTGTGCTTTGCATGTACAAGGTCTTGGGATCAATCCCCAGCTTCTCCATCATGGCTCTTTAATTGAATAATGAACTGAGTCTCAGTTTACAAACTAATCCACAGTCACACAACATTTCATACTGAATTAAAAGGGGATGTAGCTCAGTGGTAGTGTGTGTGCTTTGCATGTACAAGGTCCTGGGATCAATCCCCAGCATCTCCAACAACATTGAGCCAGAATTGTATTCTGTACTACATTTAAAGAGTTACTCAAACCATTGAGGAGAGCCCTCTATCCAAGTTTCATTTGAACTGTGATCATGAGAGCTCTTGAAAGTACTTTTTTGTTTAATTAAGCAATCGGATCGTTAAAAGACTGTACAAACAAGTACCTACCGATTGATATAATAACATGAAGGGGATGTAGCTCAGTGGTAGAGCGTGTGCTTTGCATGTACAAGGTCCTGGGATCAATCCCCAGCATCTCCATCATTGCCATTAACATCTTAAGGTCTCGACAAATCGCAGCTCAAGGAATCTGTTAATTTTTGTTGTGATAATAAGAGCTCTTGAAAGATATCTTTTTATATAATCAAGTAATAGAATTAGTAAAATAATAAACAAACAAGTACATATGTAAGGATTGATGTGACACAATGAAGGGGATGTACCTCAGTGGTAGAGCGTTCGCTGAGCGTGTGCTTAGCATGTACAAGGTACTGGGATCAATCCCCAGCATCTCCATCATTGCCATTAACCTCTTAAGGTCTCGACAAATGGACGCTCAAGGAATCTGTTAATTCTTGTTGTGATAATAAGAGCTCTTGAAAGATATCTTTTTATATAATCAAGTAATAGAATTAGTAAAATAATAAACAAACAAGTACATATGTAAGGATTGATGTGACACAATGAAGGGGATGTACCTCAGTGGTAGAGCGTTTGCTGAGCGTGTGCTTAGCATGTACAAGGTACTGGGATCAATCCCCAGCATCTCCAACACCATTTAAACAGATGACTTCTTATATACTCAGACCATAAAGTAATGTCCTTTATTAAAGTTTCTTGAAAATCAGGCCCTTTGTTCATCTGTACCTCATTATCCAAAATAGTAATTACAGAAGATAATGAGGACACCATGAAGGGGATGTAGCTCTGTGGTAGAGCGTGTGCTTTGCATGTACAAGGTCCTGGGATCAATCCCCAGCATCTCCAACAACATCGAGCCAGAATTGTTATTCTGTACTACATTTAAAGAGTTACTCAAACCATTGAAGAGAGCCCTCTATCCAAGTTTCATTTGAACTGTGATCATGAGAGCTCTTGAAAGTACTTTTTTGTTTGATTAAGCAATCGGATCGTTAAAAGACTGTTCAAACAAGTACCTACCGATTGATATAATAACATGAAGGGGATGTAGCTCAGTGGTAGAGTGTGTGCTTAGCATGTACAAGGTACTGGGATCATTCCCCAGCATCTCCAACACCATTTAAACAGATGACTTCTTATATACTCAAACCATAAAGTAATGTCCTTTATTAAAGTTTCTTGAAAATCAGGCCCTTTGTTCATCTGTACCTCATTATCCAAAATAGTAATTACAGAAGATAATGAGGACACCATGAAGGGGATGTAGCTCAGTGGTAGAGCGTGTGCTTTGCATGTACAAGGTCCTGGGATCAATCCCCAGCATCTCCATCATTGCCAATAACATTTTAAGGTCTCGACAAATGAACACTCAAGGAATCTGTTAATTTTTGTTGTGATAATAAGAGCTCTTGAAAGATATCTTTTTATATAATCAAGTAATAGAATTAGTAAAATAATAAACAAACAAGTACATATGTAAGGATTGATGTGACACAATGAAGGGGATGTACCTCAGTGGTAGAGCGTGTGCTTCGCATGTACAAGGTCTTGGGATCAATCCCCAGCTTCTCCATCATGGCTCTTTAATTGAATAATTAACTGAGTCTCAGTTTACAAACTAATCCACAGTCACACAACATTTCATACCGAATGAAAAGGGGATGTAGCTCAGTGGTAGAGCGTGTGCTTTGCATGTACAAGGTCCTGGGATCAATCACCAGCTTCTCCATCATGGCTCTTTAATTGAATAATTAACTGAGTCTCAGTTTACAAACTAATCCACAGTCACACAACATTTCATACCGAATGAAAAGGGGATGTAGCTCAGTGGTAGAGCGTGTGCTTTGCATGTACAAGGTCCTGGGAACAATCCCCAGCATCTCCATCATTGCCAATTAGATATTAAGGTCTCGACAAATGGACGCTCAAGGAATCTATTATTTTTGTTGTGATAATAAGAGCTCTTGAAAGATATCTTTTTATATAATCAAGTAATAGAATTAGTAAAATAATAAACAAACAAGTACATATGTGAGGATTGATGTGACACAATGAAGGGGATGTACCTCAGTGGTAGAGCGTTTGCTGAACGTGTGCTTAGCATGTACAAGGTCCTGGGATCAATCCCCAGCATCTCCAACAACATTGAGCCAGAATTGTATTCTGTACTACATTTAAAGAGTTACTCAAACCATTGAGGAGAGCCCTCTATCCAGGTTTCATTTGAACTGTGATCACGAGAGCTCTTGAAAGTACTTTTTTGTTTAATTAAGCAATCGGATCGTTAAAAGACTGTACAAACAAGTACCTACCGATTGATATAACAACATGAAGGGGATGTAGCTCCGTGGTAGAGCGTGTGCTTTGCATGTACAAGGTCCTGGGATCAATCCCCAGCATCTCCATCATTGCCATTAACATCTTAAGGTCTCGACAAATCGCAGCTCAAGGAATCTGTTAATTTTTGTTGTGATAATAAGAGCTCTTGAAAGTTATCTTTTTATATAATCAAGTAATAGAATTAGTAAAATAATAAACAAACAAGTACATATGTAAGGATTGATGTGACGCAATGAAGGGGATGTACCTCAGTGGTAGAGCGTTTGCTGAGCGTGTGCTTAGCATGTACAAAGTACTGGGATAAATCCCCAGCATCTCCAACACCATTTAAACAGATGACTTCTTATATACTCAAACCATAAAGTAATGTCCTTTATTAAAGTTTCTTGAAAATCAGGCCCTTTGTTCATCTGTACCTCATTATCCAAAATAGTAATTACAGAAGATAATGAGGACACCATGAAGGGGATGTAGCTCAGTGGTAGAGCGTGTGCTTCGCATGTACAAGGTCCTGGGATCAATCCCCAGCTTCTCCATCATGGCTCTTTAATTGAATAATTAACTGAGTCTCAGTTTACAAACTAATCCACAGTCACACAACATTTCATACCGAATTAAAAGGGGATGTAGCTCAGTGGTAGAGCGTGTGCTTTGCATGTACAAGGTCTTGGGATCAATCCCCAGCTTCTCCATCATGGCTCTTTAATTGAATAATTAACTGAGTCTCAGTTTACAAACTAATCCACAGTCACACAACATTTCATACCGAATTAAAAGGGGATGTATCTCAGTGGTAGAGTGTGTGCTTTGCATGTACAAGGTCCTGGGATCAATCCCCAGCATCTCCAACAACATTGAGCCAGAATTGTATTCTGTACTACATTTAAAGAGTTACTCTAACCATTGAGGAGAGCCCTCTATCCAAGTTTCATTTGAACTGTGATCATGAGAGCTCTTGAAAGTACTTTTTTGTTTGAATAAGCAATCGGATCGTTAAAGACTGTACAAACAAGTACCTACCGATTGATATAATAACATGAAGGGGATGTAGCTCAGTGGTAGAGCGTGTGCTTTGCATGTACAAGTTCCTGGGATCAATCCCCAGCATCTCCATCATTGCCAATAACATCTTAAGGTCTCGACAAATGGACACTCAAGGAATCTGTAAAAAAAATGTGTGATAATAAGAGCTCTTGAAAGTTATCTTTTTATATAATCAAGTAATAGAATTAGTAAAATAATAAACAAACAAGTACATATGTAAGGATTGATGTGACGCAATGAAGGGGATGTACCTCAGTGGTAGAGCGTTTGCTGAGCGTGTGCTTACCATGTACAAAGTACTGGGATCAATCCCCAGCATCTCCAACACCATTTAAACAGATGACTTCTTATATACTCAAACCATAAAGTAATGTCCTTTATTAAAGTTTCTTGAAAATCAGGCCCTTTGTTCATCTGTACCTCATTATCCAAAATAGTAATTACAGAAGATAATGAGGACACCATGAAGGGGATGTAGCTCAGTGGTAGAGCGTGTGCTTCGCATGTACAAGGTCCTGGGATCAATCCCCAGCTTCTCCATCATGGCTCTTTAATTGAATAATTAACTGAGTCTCAGTTTACAAACTAATCCACAGTCACACAACATTTCATACCGAATGAAAAGGGGATGTAGCTCAGTGGTAGAGCGTGTGCTTTGCATGTACAAGGTCTTGGGATCAATCCCCAGCTTCTCCATCATGGCTCTTTAATTGAATAATTAACTGAGTCTCAGTTTACAAACTAATCCACAGTCACACAACATTTCATACTGAATTAAAAGGGGATGTAGCTCAGTGGTAGTGTGTGTGCTTTGCATGTACAAGGTCCTGGGATCAATCCCCAGCATCTCCAACAACATTGAGCCAGAATTGTATTCTGTACTACATTTAAAGAGTTACTCTAACCATTGAGGAGAGCCCTCTATCCAAGTTTCATTTGAACTGTGATCATGAGAGCTCTTGAAAGTACTTTTTTGTTTGAATAAGCAATCGGATCGTTAAAGACTGTACAAACAAGTACCTACCGATTGATATAATAACATGAAGGGGATGTAGCTCAGTGGTAGAGCGTGTGCTTTGCATGTACAAGGTCCTGGGATCAATCCCCAGCATCTCCATCATTGCCAATAACATCTTAAGGTCTCGACAAATGGACACTCAAGGAATCTGTAAAAAAAATGTGTGATAATAAGAGCTCTTGAAAGTTATCTTTTTATATAATCAAGTAATAGAATTAGTAAAATAATAAACAAACAAGTACATATGTAAGGATTGATGTGACGCAATGAAGGGGATGTACCTCAGTGGTAGAGCGTTTGCTGAGCGTGTGCTTAGCATGTACAAAGTACTGGGATAAATCCCCAGCATCTCCAACACCATTTAAACAGATGACTTCTTATATACTCAAACCATAAAGTAATGTCCTTTATTAAAGTTTCTTGAAAATCAGGCCCTTTGTTCATCTGTACCTCATTATCCAAAATAGTAATTACAGAAGATAATGAGGACACCATGAAGGGGATGTAGCTCAGTGGTAGAGCGTGTGCTTCGCATGTACAAGGTCCTGGGATCAATCCCCAGCTTCTCCATCATGGCTCTTTAATTGAATAATTAACTGAGTCTCAGTTTACAAACTAATCCACAGTCACACAACATTTCATACCGAATTAAAAGGGGATGTAGTGTGTGTGCTTTGCATGTACAAGGTCTTGGGATCAATCCCCAGCTTCTCCATCATGGCTCTTTAATTGAATAATTAACTGAGTCTCAGTTTACAAACTAATCCACAGTCACACAACATTTCATACCGAATTAAAAGGGGATGTATCTCAGTGGTAGAGTGTGTGCTTTGCATGTACAAGGTCCTGGGATCAATCCCCAGCATCTCCAACAACATTGAGCCAGAATTGTATTCTGTACTACATTTAAAGAGTTACTCTAACCATTGAGGAGAGCCCTCTATCCAAGTTTCATTTGAACTGTGATCATGAGAGCTCTTGAAAGTACTTTTTTGTTTGAATAAGCAATCGGATCGTTAAAGACTGTACAAACAAGTACCTACCGATTGATATAATAACATGAAGGGGATGTAGCTCAGTGGTAGAGCGTGTGCTTTGCATGTACAAGGTCCTGGGATCAATCCCCAGCATCTCCATCATTGCCAATAACATCTTAAGGTCTCGACAAATGGACACTCAAGGAATCTGTAAAAAAAATGTGTGATAATAAGAGCTCTTGAAAGTTATCTTTTTATATAATCAAGTAATAGAATTAGTAAAATAATAAACAAACAAGTACATATGTAAGGATTGATGTGACGCAATGAAGGGGATGTACCTCAGTGGTAGAGCGTTTGCTGAGCGTGTGCTTAGCATGTACAAAGTACTGGGATAAATCCCCAGCATCTCCAACACCATTTAAACAGATGACTTCTTATATACTCAAACCATAAAGTAATGTCCTTTATTAAAGTTTCTTGAAAATCAGGCCCTTTGTTCATCTGTACCTCATTATCCAAAATAGTAATTACAGAAGATAATGAGGACACCATGAAGGGGATGTAGCTCAGTGGTAGAGCGTGTGCTTCGCATGTACAAGGTCCTGGGATCAATCCCCAGCTTCTCCATCATGGCTCTTTAATTGAATAATTAACTGAGTCTCAGTTTACAAACTAATCCACAGTCACACAACATTTCATACCGAATTAAAAGGGGATGTAGCTCAGTGGTAGAGCGTGTGCTTTGCATGTACAAGGTCTTGGGATCAATCCCCAGCTTCTCCATCATGGCTCTTTAATTGAATAATTAACTGAGTCTCAGTTTACAAACTAATCCACAGTCACACAACATTTCATACCGAATTAAAAGGGGATGTATCTCAGTGGTAGAGTGTGTGCTTTGCATGTACAAGGTCCTGGGATCAATCCCCAGCATCTCCAACAACATTGAGCCAGAATTGTATTCTGTACTACATTTAAAGAGTTACTCAAACCATTGAGGAGAGCCCTCTATCCAAGTTTCATTTGAACTGTGATCATGAGAGCTCTTGAAAGTACTTTTTTGTTTGAATAAGCAATCGGATCGTTAAAGACTGTACAAACAAGTACCTACCGATTGATATAATAACATGAAGGGGATGTAGCTCAGTGGTAGAGCGTGTGCTTTGCATGTACAAGTTCCTGGGATCAATC